TCTTTCTTTCTTTCTTTCTTTCTTTCTTTCTTTCTTTCTTTCTTTCTCTCTAGAGCTCTGCTTCCACACACCGGTGTGAGATGACTCCAGTTTTTTATGTAAGCAATTAGTGTATGACCCTCACACTATCAGAGTGTGAGGGTCAATATATGATTTCAGCTGTAGTCATGTTTCTTTTACAATCTTTTGGTGTATAGATGTGGTGTATAGACGTTAAGAATTTCAATGTACCCTTGGTAGACTTTTCCTTTGATGAGTATGTAGTGTCCTTCTCCATCTCTTCTGATTAGGTTTGGTTAGAAATCTAGTTTGTTAGATGTTAAAATTGCCATGAACCTGGAGATGACACTGGGAGACTGGACTAGGAGGAATGGAGGGAGAGGTGGAGGTCTGCATTTAGCCAACTTACTTCCCTAGTCTGAGTGGCCTGTGGGTTCCCAGGGAGTGCCTGCTGAAGTTGGGGGCTGGACAAAGCAATGGATGAGAAGAGGGATATTAGCAGGGCAAGATCTGTGGGATCTACTGGGGATGGGTGCAGCTGGGGGAGGGAGGCTGCTGCTGGTGTTGTTGCAGAGCTGGGGATGAGATTGGGTACTGGATTTGGAGGAGCAGTGGGGGAAGTGAAGATCTGCAGTTGGCCCACCTGCTCTCTTGAGAGACTGTGCCTGTGAGCTTTTATTCTCTCTGTCTTTATCTCTCTTTCTATCTCCTTTTTCTCTTTGGTTTCACATATGGTTTTACATATGGTTTTACAACTGTCTCATACACACAGATTATGAGCCCATTCTTCAGTCTAATTTTGCTATGATCTCCTCCATCATCAATGAAGATGGCCTCTGAATGATGGTGCAGTGTGTGACAGAGCACATGGGACCTTCCCCCAAGCCATGTTACACGGCAGCCCAGGATTAAGAGCGCGCACCAGGCTGTCCAGGTCACATAAAGAAGCTACTTCCATAATTTGGAACATTGGAGATATTCCATAGCCCAGGTATTCCTTCATTTTGAAAGAGGAAGAAAGAGAGAGAGGGGATGACACTGAAATTGTAGAGGGGAGTTGGAGTTGTGCGCTTACGAGTTGGAGGGGGCAGGTGAAATCATGGCTGTATCATGCCAGTGTGAACAGTGAAAACCACTAAAAAGAAAAGCCTGCTGTTCTGGGCTGTGGATTCACTCGACTTGGGGCTGGGTAGAAGGAGCCATGTTTAGCCAGTCCTCGGGTATCCCTGAAGTCCGAGGTTGCTTACTGTAGCACCTTATCCAGAAATTCAGACTGAGCTGTTGTAGACCCTGCCCTGTGTTCTTTGTGTAGCCTGGCAGTGTTCACTGGGAATCTGAAACACCTGTTCGTGGGCCAGTATCTCGACTTTATCATAGGTTCTGAGCATCCATAGAGACCAGGAGTTGGAAACAAGAGGGCCTGAAAATGTTGGTGAGGTGAATAGAAATGTCTCTGAGTGTGGTCTCGATAGGAGCTTGTCATTAGTGCAGCTAGAGAGTGACAGAAGCATAAATAGGAAATGTGCGCTTATGAAGAACCACACAAATATATACAGGATATATAATTTAAATGACATTATAGATCAAATAGACTTAACCCTACCTACCTACACAAAATTTCAAACCATACAGAATACACTTTTGTTTCAGCAGCCGCTGAGACTTTTCATAAAATAGATCATATATTAGAACATGAAGCAAATTTTAAGAACGACAGAGACATTGATTTTCTCTTATTTTGTTACAAAGCAATTAAACTCCCAACCCACACTAAGAGAAACTATAGAACACACACAGTCTCCTGAAGATTAAACAACACACTTTTGAATGGTGAATGTGTTATTCAAGAAATTCAAAATGAATTTTAAAATGCCAAGAATCAAACGACAATGAAAAAGAAACAAATGAAACCCAAAAGACTGCATACAAAATCCCGGGGGAGATGAAGCAGCCCTAGGAGGAACATTTGCCGACCTAAGTCCCAGGGTATGAATTTCGCATGTCCATCTCCTTCTCCATTTGTGTTTTCTTCATCTGTGGGATACTCTGCACACAGCAGAAACAACAGGGCAGAAACACAGTCTTTAGTTTCCTGCTTCTGCTCCTTCACCCACCCTGCATCTGTGACAAGAAAGAACCATGATTTGGGGTGAGCGTTACTAGTATGTGGAATGATTTCAGGGTCCATGCTGTGCCTATGAAGCTGGGGGAGGGTGCACAATGAAAAAGCAAAACAGAGGAGGTGGTTTTGCATGCCTGATAACCACTGGGTTCTTCACCTTTGCCTGGTCGTGCTGCTCTTCTGCCACATTACCTTGCACTGTGCCATAGAGCTTCCACCTACCATGTTGGGTACAAATTTCCACATGGGCAAGACCCACAACTGCTTCCTGTTGGACAACAATGCATCCCATAGCAGCACAGACTCATGCCCAGGAATTCATCCTGTCCCTAGATCACCTTGCTATGTTTCTGAAGGCTATGGCTATAGACTTTGCTTCTCTCTCTCTCTCTCTCTCTCTCTCTCTCTCTCTCTCTGTGTGTGTGTGTGTGTGTGTGTGTGTCTGTGCTCAGTGTGAGACTCTGTAACAGGAAGATGGAAATGAGGTCAGAGCTGTCAGTACTGAAGAGTCGAGAGACTGAGAGTGGGCAGGTGGCCATAGATCACAGAGGGGGAGCTTATGGGGATGACAAAGAGCAGTGCGGGAAAATGCCTCCAGTGAAGCCCATAAGGTGCCTTCTTGTAGCATCCTACATGGTCAGTGATATCTGAGGATACTCAGCCCTGAGAAGCAAGCACAGTGTGAGGGACTCTGATGAGTGCTGGGCATAGAGGTCAGAATACCAGGCAAAAGATGATCAGGAAGAGAGGGGCAGATAGGACATTTCCCTTCTCTTTGTGTGCTTGTGGCTAGACTGTGGCTGCTGATGCTGAGGACTCTTGGATAACAAAACAACTGTTCCCATCTTCATAATGTCATTGTGTTCTTATTACTCACTTCCTTGGTCAGAGAATTACCTGGGTGCCCACAAAAGGATTCTATAAAATTTCCTGGCCCTGGCCATCCAGAACTTTCCAGCCTCAGATCTTGCTGCTGAAACGAGAGGCCCAGATTCCCTTTCCAAAATATCTGACCTTGGGAAACAGTACAACTTGGCTTCTAGGGCAAAGAGAATGTGGTCTGGGCCTCCCACACAGTCCCTTATCAGAAGCTGAGCCAACAGAGTGCTAGGACAGCATGTGCGTGCACACCGTGAAGCCCCTTGTACCCAGACATTCTACTGAGAACACTGGCACTCGGTGTTCTACCACTTCCTCCAGTCTGAGCCACTGTGCGGAGGAAAGAATCAGAGCTGTCTAAGGAGTGCACAGCATCTGAGCCAGTCCCTTCTGAGACAGAAAAGAGATAAAGGTATGAGAAGAGTGTGCTCACTATCCCACCCACGAAAGGAAATGACTTTGTCTGCCTCCTGGCCATTGGCTCCAGTCACTTCTAAACTTATCAGTTCTTCTATAATGAGAACCTTGACTGATCACACCAAGTTCCCCACCTACATACTATTGGTTTAAATTTATGCCGGATAGGGCTCACAGGCTCTTCCTGTTTGGAACCGTGGTTGTCCTAACAGCACAGACTGAGGCCTGGGAGCCGATCATGCCGCTGAAACAACTGCACAGCTGGCTGAAAGCTGGGCTCCTTGGGCTCCTGCTTCTCCTCCTCCATGTGCAGGGTAAGGCTCCCTAAACAGGCAGTGGGCACTGACTGGAGCTACCGGGAATCCTGCATGTTAGATGCTGGGCTTGTGGGAGAAAGGGTTTGGGTGTTAATGGAAATAATAGAGCAGGGGTTCTCTATGTATGAATTCTTATCATAGAAAAACCCATATATCCAATGGTCTTAGAAGGCCTAAACTGCTAGTTTATTTTTATACTACTTTCTAACTGTAATTTTTCTCTTCTGTGGTTCTCAGTTCCTGAGACTATCAGAAATACGCATTTTTCAATGGTCATTACAGGTTGAGGACTGGTGCTATAGATAAAGGTATAGGAAGTGTGTGCCTACCAATCTCCCCAACAAAATCCCACACCTGTTGTGATTCTACCAGCACACAGAGGATCAGACACATCTAAGATCACTCCATACTGAGGAGACAGTTCAATGTAAGGAGTTCTGGACAGAACAGTAAACAATTCAAGAAAAAGTGGGAAGGTATTTTTCCCTTTTTGGTGTATGGTATGACTGTATCTACTTTTGACATTTGGATAAGAATGACAATAATCGTGAATTCATGTTTCCAAATGGCCGTGACTGTCTGACCTCTTTGGCTAGAGAAATGCTCTGATGCCCTTCAAATGGGTAATAGGAAAGGTTCCCAGCCCTAGGGAATAGGGAAGCTCCCATACTCATACCCCACAGCTGAGTTGGGGGACCCTGGGTTCCCTTCTCCTGTACCCTGGTAAGAATGTAATAGGGAAATCTCCCAATCATCTGTCAGCTAGTTACAGGAAATTAACCCTGATGGTGTCTCCCCAGCAGGTCAGGACTCATCAGAGGCCAGCCCCATCAGAAACACACACCTAGGCCAAGTCCAGGGCAGCCTCATCCAAGTAAAGGACAACAACATTGGTGTCCACACCTTTCTGGGAATTCCTTTTGCCAAGCCACCTGTAGGACCACTGCGCTTTGCACCACCTGAGGCCCCTGAACCGTGGAGTGGTGTGAGGGATGGGACCTCACACCCAGCCCTGTAAGTTCTGGACCCAGACGGTTTCAGTCACTGGGGTGAGAATGTGCTCTGAGCTATGAGCCACTCTGAAGTGTTTCCTTCATCTCAGATACATGGGAGTTTTCATTCCTTCTGGGGAGTGGCCCATGTGTTTTTCTGATGATGTGTTAAAATTGAGTAGAACAAGTGTTCCAGGTAGCTTGGTCAGAGCTTGGCACTCATGGGGAGTTAAATGCAGACACTGTTGAGAACAAGAAAGATATAAAATTGTTCACAGCTTCTAATTAAGGCCAGTGGTCTCTGTCACAATGGGAGGGATCTCTAAGCTTCAGTTAATGTGACTTATCACGCAGCAAGCACTCCTGAATTCAGGAGAATTCCCTGAAAACTGCAGCCCTGATTGATACATGCAAACCCACTCTCACAATCACTGTGACAACCAACAGGGCCAGGTGCCATTGACCAAGGGACAAGCATATGCAATTAATTCCCTCTGGAGACACTATAGGCAAAAGAAGTTCCCTGAGTGTCTGTACTTGGGAGGAAGGACTACTCACTACCCTTTAAGGCAGTGTTGTCCATTGATTCCTCTGTTATCTGTGAGAGTACAACACTCCCATATTGTAATCTTAGCAATTTTTATGTTGCTGTAAAAAAGTATTAATAAAGGCTATTTAGAAGTGAAAACTGCTATTACATGCTCCAGACTTTAATGTATTATTTGGGGGAAACACAGTGAAACAAAACTACAGTAGTTGATCACATGTCATCCAAAACGGTGAGCAGAGACTAGAAAATGCTTGCATGCCTGCTAACGCTTAGCTCACTTTTCCATTCTTATATAATTTAGTGAATGCCATTATAGACAGCCAATCATTTCCACAGAGACATCTAGCAGTGTCTCTCTCCCAGACTCAGAAAGATTAACATCCAGGCCACACACACTGAAAGTCTCCCTAGAAGTCAGGCTTCACTCCAGCTTTCATGGAGCCTCTGGCTTTTACCTTGGTTTGAAGTGACTTAGAGAGGGAATATGTGTTAACAGGGCAGTGTGAGGAGCAGCAGCTGAAGGTGGCTAAGAAAAAAATCAGGCTCACATTTATTTTTGCTCACAATACATCTTTTGGTATAACTGCTATTTCCATCAGATGTCTGCAAAATATCGTGATGACTATGAAGATCATGGAGAAAATGAATATGACCGTGCCTCCCATCTCTGTATCTGAGGACTGCCTGTATCTCAACATCTATGCACCAGCTTATGCCCATGAGGGCACTAACCTGCCTGTGAGTGCCAGGCCATGGTCAAGTTGGAGAAAGGGCATTTTTTTTTCCAAGATGATTAGAAGGGACAAAAGCAACCTGACCTCTAGTGAAGGCTAGACTCTCATGAAATGTCTTACCTCACTTAGGACATAGAAGGCCTTCTCAGCTACACTATGTAGCTGAAATCTGGATGTGGGGCACAGCACCCGAACACTGAGTAATCAAAGTCTCCAGCTCTTTGATTAAACCAGGACTCATGCTACAACTCCGGTCCTGCTGAACTGCTTAGGTGCTCAAGACCCAAACATTTTGGTCACCCAAATTTCCACTTTTGCATTACCTGTTGTGACAATGAGAGCTGATGATCCTTTCCATTCTTAATCCAGAGAGATATCCATGGAGACACCCCTCTTTGTTCCACTATGAAGGGTCTGAGTAATGATGACATTACTCAATACAGAGAGACATTAATTCAGAGACATATGGTGGGGATGGAGACTAGAGATATACTGACGGGGCATCTAGAAGTTCCTGCTATGGCCAAGCCCCTGAAGTCCTGAGGATTTTTGTGTTTCTGGAGCTGCACTGAGGCACAGCAGTTGATATATGATAAGCAGACCAGCATAGCTTGGATGGACTAGGAGTTTCCTGGCCTCTCTCTTGACTTCTCCAGGTGATGGTATGGATCCATGGTGGCGCACTGGTTACAGGAGGGGCTTCCATGTTTGATGGATCCCTATTGACAGCTACTCAGGATGTGGTGGTGGTCACTATCCAGTACCGTCTGGGTGTCCCAGGCTTCTTCAGGTGAGCCTGGGGCTGGTCTGGACAATGGTAGCTGAGAAGATCCTAGACAGCGCTTTGATCCCTGTCTCTTCCACTTCTCAGCACTGGAGACCAGCACGCCAGAGGCAACTGGGGCTACCTGGACCAAGTGGCTGCCCTTCGCTGGGTCCAGCAGAACATCGCCAACTTTGGAGGCAACCCTGATCAGGTCACAATTTTTGGCGAGTCAGCAGGTGGCACAAGTGTGTCTTCACATGTTGTGTCCCCCATGTCCCAAGGACTCTTCCACAGAGCCATCATGGAGAGTGGGGTTGCTGTGCTACCTGACCTTATCTCTGACAGCTCTGAGATGGTCTCCACTGTAAGTGCCCTTAACCATCACTGGCCAAGTCTCCTGCCTCAGCCTTCATATGCTGGTACTCTGGTGTTCTGTTGTGTGGGAAAAGAAGGATCATTGGAAATAACTTGTTTCCAATAATTTCTGAGACACTTAGGGATTAACATCTACTCACATCTACTTCATACTGAGTGAGTGAGTTATCTGACAAGCAAACTGCTCTTGCAGTTTCTATCCTTGATAGAATAAGTATGCATGGGTTTGGGAGGTGTTTCATCAGGTTTTTTTTTTTTGTTTGTTTTTGTTTTTGTTTTGTTTTTTCCAAAAAAGGTGCTTTGAATGAATGCCTGAGGACATAAGTTCAAATCCCCAGTACCCACAAAGGGCTGGACATAATCACATGTATCTGTAATTCTGATGTTCCTGTGCTCATGTGGAGACAGAGACAAGAGAATTCCTGGATGTAGACAGACAAGCTCAGCTAGTGTAGGCAGCAACAAAACAGAAGACACTGTCAATGAAGGGAGGCATTGAAGACTGAGACTTTGTCCTCAAACCTTCATATACAAACCTTGGCACACTTATTCCATCCCTCATACATGACACAGAGAAAGATGGGTGGAGAAATCAAAACTACCCTAACAGAAAGAAGTATGTAGGTAGAAAGCGTACTTCCTGCTGGCTGTCACCTTTGACCACTAGGGGAATGGGAACAATTTCTACTTATTCCAATCCACACAACACACATGACAGAATGGAAATTGGAGGAGAGAGGATCAACTTGGAACTGAGAAATCTTCTTCCTGTTCATTCCCTTTACAGACGGTGGCCAAACTATCTGGATGTGAGGCCATGGACTCAGAGGCCCTGGTGCGCTGCCTGAGAGGCAAGAGTGAAGCAGAGATTCTGGACATTAACAAGGTGGGAGAATTTTGTGTGTCTGAGAACCTGGTCTACATGATGAGGAATTCTGAACTAAATACCTCATCTTTATGAGTTTGTGTTCTTTCAGTTTGTATACACAATGAACATGAGCTTAGGCTAATCTAAGTGCGGATTATCCTTAGGGTGAGCAGTGCACCCTGAACTAGTGTGAAATGAAAAAATATGGTGAAGGTAACTCAATGGACATCAGCTATTTCAACAATTTCTGCACTGATGTTTAATGATCCCCAGGACTTCAAGGTAATTCCTGCTGTGGTGGATGGAGTGTTCCTACCCAGGCATCCTCAAGAGTTATTGGCTTCCGTGGATTTTCACCCTGTCCCCAGCATCATTGGTGTCAACAATGATGAGTATGGTTGGGACCTTCCCATGGTGAGGCACAGTTCCAATCCTCTCGGAGCCTGAAGACCCATATGCTAAGCTGTGGGAACTCAATACATCCTTAATCTAAGTCTCCTGATCTAACACTTTACACTTTCTTGTGCCTGCCAGTACTTGGGCTCTGCTCAGACAATAATGGAAATAACCAGAGAGAACCTGAATGCTGTTCTGAAGAATGCAGCAGCACAAATGGTGAGAAACCTCTGATCCTGTCCAAGTAGAGGGGTCCTTCATAGCTCCTTTCAGACAGATTCCCTGGGAATAAAGCTCAGTGTATATGTATGATTCTCGGTGGGGTCCTCAGAGATGAAGCTTCTAACCTATACCCATTGTTATCCCAGATGTCATGCTCCCAATACCAAAGGCTGCTGCTTACCTAACGTACAATACGCCTCACTTCATTCTTGCTGGTTTCCCTGGTGTAGATGCTGCCTCCTGAGTGCAGTGACTTGCTAATGGATGAGTACATGGGAGACACTGAGGACCCCCAGACCCTCCAAATTCAGTATACAGAGATGATGGGGGACTTCCTGTTTGTGATCCCTGCACTCCAAGTAGCACATTTTCAGCGTGAGTACATCTGTCATGAGGCTTAGGGGAGCATCTCAGGGATGTGGGTCACAGTGAGCACTGTGGTATTCAGGTTTCCTTGTGTCTAATTCAACAGAGTAAAATCTAGATACAGAGGAGAAAATGGGTTTCGGACATTCAATTGAATTAGCAAAACCACTTTCTAGATGGCCTGGAGTGTCTAGCCAAAGGCTTTTCCATAGCTGTGTTCCAACCTGGAGCTCGATCTCCTATTTAACTTCTGTAATTCCAGGCAACCAAATATGCAACAGAAAACCTTCAGGTGGGGTTCAGCTACATCACTTTCTGTCTCCACCTGCAGGTCCCCATGCTCCTGTCTATTTCTATGAGTTCAAACATCAATCCAGCTTTCTCAAGAATACCAGGCCACACTATGTGAAGGCTGACCATGGGGATGAAGTTCCTTTTGTCTTTGGATCCTGGCGCTTTGGCATGGAACGTGAGTCTTCTTTACTTTTCTCAAGCTGAATGAGGTTCCAAATGACTCTTTGGGGACTTCTGAGCCCTCAGTCTTTTTGAGAAAATTTATGTTCTGAGAGAGGACAAATCCAATGTTGTGGCCCCAAATCAAAGTTGATGTAGAATCTTCAACCCTTCCAGTCTAGCCAGTAATAGAGAACCTGACAGCAAAATCATGCAGAAATTCAGTTAGAGGCTTGCATGGCTATTAGATACTCTATATAGCAAAGAAGGGAGGCAACAAAGCCAATAGTGTGGGGTCAGACATCACCTGAGGTGGTGAATGTGAAGAGTGAGTTGACACTTGCGTGAGGTGGCATATACATTGTCTTCCTCATAACTATAGTTAACTTCACTGAGGAGGACGAGCTGCTGAACAGGAGGATGATGAAGTACTGGGCCAACTTCGCACGATATGGGTGAGAACACACCTCTCTCTCTCAACCTAACACATGTGGGTCTCTATTAAGGCTCTCTTTTGAATGGACGCCTTCTTGCCTGCATGGATCTTCCATTGCATGAATGTTTTGTCTACACAATAGCACATTTATGCAGGTACCTTATAGTTAGCAGATCCTTGTCATCTCACGGTGACCTACCTGATGAGCTATAGTGCTGTGGTACTGTTGCTGAGATCTTTCCTCTTAGAGGCAGATATAGAACTTGTCAGGTAGTTCTTTCCCAACAAGGAGCAGAAACTAATGAAGTGACACTTGTATGCACATATCAAGATACCTGTACCATCAGACCCCTTAAACACTGGCTGGCTTGTTCCACTGCCTTGATCCACATCAGGGGATCAGGCTTTGTAACAGAGTGACCTCATCCTTCTTTCCTGTGTGTTATATTCAAGGAACCCCAACAGCCAGGGTCTACCCTACTGGCCTATGTTGGACCATGAGGAGCAGTACCTACAGCTGGACATCCAGCTTGCTGTGGGCCGAGCCCTGAAGGCCAGAAGGTTGCAGTTCTGGACCAAGACTCTGCCCCAGAAGATCCAGGAGCTAAAGGGGGCTCAGGACAAGCATGCATGGTAGTGGTCTGTGTTAGGAAAGGTGTGTGGGTTCAGAGCAAATAGGGGCCATTCTAAAGTTACAAAATCCATTTATTCATTTTTGTTTGTTCCATCACTCACATAAGCATCCCTAACCTCTCCATTTGTCCTTTCAGACATGTATTTCAAACCCTGTGTGCATTACTCCTTATTCTCTTGGGCAGACTTTTGTTAGAGTCAATAAATGCTCTAATTACAGTGTGTGTGTGAGTCCTAAAGTCACTTATCTCTTTTAACACTTCCCTGTGTTTAGACTCCTGTTCTTCCTTTTTTTATTCCTTCCTGCCCTCCATTATCTCCTCTCCATCATCACTCTCTTTTTCTCCTAGTCCAAGACAATATTCAAATGAAGCAGAAGCTTCAGAGACTGTTGACTACAGGGACTGACTGCATCAAAATCCTCTATAATCTCTTGGCAAGTTCATGTTTTATCATGTTTGTATTTGCCATCAGAAAACCTTTTCCCAAACCCTATTGCCTTCATCAGTTCAGAAAGCTGTTCCCAAGGATCATAAACTCCAAATTGGACACAGCATCTGTGTCCTCCCATGTTTGGAGGCTGAGATAAGAAGATTGTATAAGACAGGGATGATAACAAGACCCAAACCTCTGCAACAAAACAAAAACCATGGCCACAGTAACTTACAAAGCACAGGAATCAATCTACTTATCTATATATTGAGAAATCCAGGGTCAAGATACCCCCAAGTTTGCTGTGTGGTGAGAAAGAATTGTCCGGCTAGAGATCTCAAGGTCATCTTGTGCCCTGTATAATGTGTAAACAAAAGCATTACAAGGGTAACATTAAGTTCTGCTGACTTGAACTGGCAGCTGGGAAGGATTTCCTGCCAGTGAGACTGTCCGTGTAGGTTGTCTCACTGCAGGACTAAGAAAAGATTTTGTTGATAGCATGCCTTTGCTTATCAGTTCAGTATATACACACTAAAGTTTCAACAGGAAGTCAGAAGAAACTTTAGCCTTCTAACACTTATCTCATTATTAATATCTTGAGTGTGGATTGTTTATATCGTGCTCTGGACTTATCTTAGGCTTATGTATGTTAGGCAAGTGTTCCACACATGAACTATACCAGTCAGACTCTGTGAATTGTTCAAATGCAATTAAGTTAATCTCTTTGAGGTGTCTGGCTTAGTAAGTCTGAGAAAACTCACAAGGCCTGCAGCTGCCACTAGATCAGAGTTAGACTATTCCCCCTACTTCCCACAGGGCTTTCCTCAGGTCCTTTTGCTGTTGTTCACTACATTTAACCCTGTTTCAAAGTAAACATGACATTATTTTATCTGGCTCTATTGGGTCTTCTCTCAAACCCAATATAAAGAGAACATTTTGTCTTAACTGCATACGATGTTTTTGTTTCCTTTTATTGTGGCGTGACATCCAAGTGTGCACTTTACACACTTTATATACTTAATCTATGCACAACTGTTGCCCTGTTAATTAGCTTGTCTTTGGGGGGACATGGTTTCCCTATAGCTGTGGCTGCCCTGAACTCATGATCTCACTGTGTTGACTTCCTTAGTGGTTGGTTTTTAGGTATGGGCCACCCATCTCAGATTTGGTTCTAAACAGCTGTATGGATATTCTCACACGATTTCATGTATTCAAATTTTGTGTATACAACCTAGAGTAGAATTGCTAACTTATGATTTATATGTGTTAAACATTTAAAGAAGTTGTAATGTTAGGCTATAGCAGTGGCAGAGTGCTTGCCCTGAATGTACAAAGCCCTGGGCACAATAAAAAATAAAATAAAGCCAGATCAGATGATATAAGCTTGCAATCCCAGATTCTCAGTGAGATGAGGCCAGAGTTCACAAGTTAACACCTGTCTGAGCTCTAGAGGAATATCCAGATAAAAGGGAAAATTTAGTTGTGGTCTGTCCCCACATAAAAAAAGTACAAAATGGCTGATAGGTGGCAACGGAGCCTTTAATCCAGCATCCTGGAGTGAGAAGCAAGTGGATCTCTGAGTTGTTGGCCTACATAGACTATACAGGGAAGTTTCTGGAGACCTAGCTCTACATCGAGACAGCCTGTCTTGAAAAAAGGTATAAAACATTCATAAAAATATAATTTAACTTAGTGAGTTATTAGTAAGGGGAAATAGAAAAAAAGACTAGGAAAAAAGAAGAAAGAAGAGTAGAAAGAGGAGGAGGGGAAAGGAGTGGGAGGAAGAAAAGGAGAAGGAAGAGTTGAAGAAGAAGAAAGCACAAGAAGAGGAAGAAGTGGAAAGGAAAATGTGGTTCTGGGTTTGCTGGGTCTTGGTTCTGCCATATGTCTCAGTGGCAGAGGACTTATCTGACTTATGAAAGACCCTAGATGCAATGTTCTGTGCCCTCCCTCTTTAGAAGCTTTGGGATAATTGACTACGTCAGAGCTGGTTGGGTGTCAAATTTCCATGTCCACCTCTAGCCAACCCCCAAGCTTTCTCACATCTAGAAACGGCTTCCAACACATCTGATGAGCAGCAGACCTGCTCCCTCCTTCAGTTCAAGCTGCCTTGAAAACGAGCATAAGCCGCCAGCGAGGTCAGCCCCGAGATGGATGTCTGTGGCTCAGCTTCTTGAAAGACTGAAGCAGGAGGATTTCATGAGCGCAGGAGCAAAAGGGCTACCCAGTCTATATACATGTGTGAACATGTAAGTATCATAACATGTGGCTTATAAACAATAGACATGTGTTTATAGTTTTGGAGACCATGGAGCTCAAGGTTAAAATATCACACGTGTTATGTGGTAAGGGCTAGCTCTCTATGCCAAAGACTGAACCTTGTGTTTTCAACTGGGCAGGTGGGGAAAATAATGGTGCTCAAGATCTGGACACACTGTATGCATGTATGAACTTACCAAAGAATAATCAAAACCTTAAGGTAATGGTTATACAGATCAGTGGTAGAGGTCTTTAATCTAGAGTGTAAGACCTTAGATCCAATTCTCTGTACTGGCTTTTTTAGATCTCCTGGTCTCCTGTGACAACTCCTAAAAATCTAACTCTCCTTAACATCCTATCGTAGACAAGATTTCAACATGGACGTGAGATGCATAGCACCTAGAGGTTCCCATATTGGCACCCAAGTTGTGAACAATGGAAAAGTTTCAACTTATTGTGCTTAAAAATCAAATGTCACCTATTACCCATATTTGAGAGAATCTATTAATGTAGTTTATTTCTGTCTCAAGGGGCAGGTGGTATAAGCTTTTGAGAAATAGGTCTTGGCATGTATTAGCTTTTTATGCCTGAGGCTGTGTGTGTGTGAGTGTGTGTGTGTGTGTGTGTGTGTGTGTGTCCAGAGGAGCAGGGCTGACACTTTTGTGTCTGCTGAGGCTTGTTTTTGCCCCCAATGACCCTGGTGACCCTGGGAGGCCCACCCTTTCATGAGCACAGCACATCTGTGGAGATATTGGACTGTGGGGTGTGTCATAAAAGTAGGATAAGGGTGTCAGAAGGTTCAGAAATGTCCAGTAGAGGAGATTCCTATTCCCTGTCCCCCTGAGACCATGTCTTTCTTGGACTGATCATCCTGGCTCTTTTCAATCTCCTGGTCCCCTGTGACTCGCCTCTATTCCAACTTCTGGTCAACTGAACTTGTAGGAGAAGTTTTGTGGGTTAACAAGCTTTTCCCTTTTTAATACACTGCATTGAAGGCCAACACAGGACGGCACGACCTTTGGAGTTATGTGTCTAGCAAGGTGCATGTCATTCTCCATACTCCAAATACAGTCATGACATGGTCTGCAAAGGTCATTTTTATACAAAATGGAGGACCTGGCTCAGGCCAGAGTGCAGCTTGTTCTCAGCAACACAAACCTGAGGGAGTTTTGTTTTTTAATCTAAACAGTTATGAACATTTTTTATATTTTTATTTTTTTATTAATTACTCTTTATTCACTTTGTATCCCCCCATAAACCCCTCTCGCCTCCCCTCACAAGCCCAACCTCACTCCTCCTTCTTCACGCATGCCACTCTCCAAGTCCACTAATAGGGGAGGTCCTCCTCTCCTTCCTTCTGATCTTAGTCTATCAGATCTCATCAGGAGTGGCTGCATTGCCATCTTCTGTGGCCTGGTAAGGCTGCTCCCCCCTCAGGGGGAGGTGATCAAAGAGCAGGCCAATCAGTTCATGTCAGAGGCAGTCCCTCTTCCCATTACTATGGAACCCACTTAGACACTAAGCTGCCATGGGCTACATCTGTGCAGGGGTTCTAGGTTATCTCCATGCATGGTACTTGGTTGGAGTATAAAGTCTCTGGGAAGACCACTGTGTTCAAATTTTCTTGTTCTGTTGCTCTCCTTGTGGAGTCCCTGTCCTCTCCAGATCTTACTATTTCTCACTTCTTGGAATCTTATGTAAGAAGTGGGAAACAGTTATGAACATTTAAATCATGAGTTTCTGTGATAAACTTTCACATTATTAGGCAAAAAACATGAGAGTAGATTTACTGAATCAAAAAGCACAAGGGTGTGTTTAATTCTTGAAGGTAGTTCCAACCTGTCTTTTAAAATGACTACACCACTTTGAGTCTTTTTCAGTGATCTTATGTTTTTTGGAACACTGATTATATGGGTGTGTGGTCATGGTGTGTGTTTTCAAATGATTCTGTGCACATTTTTTCCTATATAGACTTTTTTATTGATGAGTCATTTTCAACCTTTATAATCTTTCTTCTTCTTTTTATTTTTTAAATTAATTTTATATGAATTACAGTTTATTCACTTTGTATCCCAGCTGTAGCCTCCTCTCTCATTCCCTCCTAATCTCACCCTTCCTTCCTTATCTCCTCCTATTCCCACTGATAGGGGAGGTCCTCCTACCCTTCCATCTGATCCTAGCTTATCAGGTCTCATCAGGACTGGCTGCATTGTCCTCCTCTGTGGCCTGGCAATGCTGCTACCCTCTCAGGGGGATGGTGTTCTAAGACCCTACCACTGAGTTCATGTCAGAGACAGTCCCTGTTCCCCTTACTAGGTAACCCCCTTGGGTACTGAGCTTCTGTGGGCTACACCTGAGCAGGGGTTCTAGGTTATATCCATGAATGGACCTTGGTTGGAGTATCAGTCTCAGAAAAGACACCTGTTCCCAGATATTTTAGTTCTGTTACTCTCCTTGTGGAGCTC